GATTGACTTTTGTCAGGGAAGATACTGACCTAATACATGACTACCCACCATAAGCTGTTTTTAGTTAAAAGAGTTTTCATTTCAGACATCCTTTGTGGTTACTGTAGGTCTCTGAGTTTGCAAGGCCGGCATGCAGGCCTTCTCTGAGCTTGACAGGTTAGCAGGCCCCTTTTCATCCACACAAGCTCATTCACACATTTATAAAACATTAATTCATGTTAGGTCATTGAAAATCAGTGTCAAAGAAGAATAATACAGCATTCAAATGATATTCACATTGTTTTATTTAATTATACAGTAGTATGATAAAAGAATTGTTGATCTTTCTAAGCGCACAGGTATAGACCATGATGGAATTTTGTAAGGAGTTAGCAAATGAGGAAGTAGGAAAAGACCCTGTAACAACTCTGCACGAGACGCTCTTGAACAAAGTAAATAAGGAGACATCAATCCACCCACCCCTTCCCCCATATCCAGTGCCAATTAGGAAAACTAGTTACAGGTGCACACTGTGGGCACCTCATTTAGACAGTTTGAATTATTACCCTCACGAAGAGTGAGGAGCATAATCTCACACTCTTACTACACAGATCTGGGCAAGTAAATTTGGGCCATTTTTTTTGTTTTGTTTATTTGCAATATAACCATTCATAATTTAAAGTCTTTGTGACTATTGATATACAGCTATGAGGATTTACTAATCCTTAACTGTTCATTAGCTGTGTTGTCATTATCCCTTGGATAAAAAGGGAAATCTCAAACTATAATTGATAATAAGAGCACAAATCTGGGTCAATCTATGTCTGTGATATACTAGTATATGTGTGTATAAAATATGTTTAATTTTAATTTTTAAAATTAAATTATCAAAAACATGTGCCTATTTTATTTTTTTATTAAATTTATTGGTTGACGTTGGTTTACCTGATGATTTTAAATATTAAAATTATATAGGTTTCAGCCCTGCCAGGTGGCTCAGGAGGTCATGGATGGATTTCCAGTCAGGGCACTGCCTGGGTTTCAGGCTCAATCCCCATTGTGGGATACGCAGGAGGCAGTTGCTGTAACTGATGATCCTCTCTCATCATTGATGTTTCTGTCTCTCTTTCCCTCCCCCTCCCTCTCTGAAATAAGTAAAAATATATTTTTAAAAATTAGATGGGTTTCAGGTGTACATTCTATAATGCATCATCTGTATATTGTATTGGGTGTTCAGCACCCCAAGTTGTATAGTTAAATTTCTAAAAATACGAGTCTGTTCAATTCAAATGTGCTATTTATTGCAATGGTTTATATTAATTTATGGTATCAAAATTGCTCTAATAAATATGAGAAAATGTAGGTCTGTAGGTGTTCTCTACTCTTTAGATTGTGCCTTCACTTTGTGAAAGTTTTACAGTACCAGGATCTGTATGAATGATAGCTGAAGGGAGATACAGGCAGGTGGGGCGGGCGAAATGCTCTGTGATAATTAGCTAGATTTTAGGGCAAGAGGGTATGTTTCCGAGTAATTGGCCCGAAGAGAATTTTAATTAAAATAAATTGGTGTGATCAGTTACATTTCCTGCGAGGTACATACAGTTGATCTGGAAAATGATCTAGAGAAGTGTGTTCCCTCCAGACAGAAATATTTAAAATCACCAGGTAAACAGGCAAATTAATCATATTAATATTAATTTTGTTCCAGGAGGCAGTTTCTATAGCCATTCCAATCAACGTTTCATTTCATTCTTCTCCCCCTTGCATAAAGAAGGTCAAGGGGACCCTGCTTTGCGAGAGTTCGGCTTCTGTTTTCCAGCTGAGGGTATGAGGCTTCGGTAGCCAGCAGTGTGAAGTAGAGTTTCTCCCCTGAGATTCATGAAACCTCAATACGAGTGAGTTCCTTGAGGCGGGAGGGTGTCGAGGCGGCGGTGACAGGCGTGTCACGGTGTTTCTCCTAGGGTGCCAATTAAACAAAGGGCCCGCTGTTCCAGGAAGGGCAATTCACAAGTGCGCTCCTGAGGCCTCTTTGTTATCTATGCTGCCAAGGACAGCAGTCTGCTGGCTCCAGGAAGCTCCTGGCTTCCGTCAGACGTGATAGCTTTCTAATGTGAGGCCCAGGCTTAGGTCTCCGCTGTGAAAGGGAAATGCTGAAGTTCAAAAGAGAACCTGGGCAGCAGTCATGTTTAGTCTGTAAAATGAAGAGTGTGTAAAAAAGACCCCTGAGGGCCCATCCAGGTTAGCACCTTTCCATGCCTCCCTGGGGAATAATCTCCCTAAGAACTGGGACCATGAGGAGTATGGGTGTAGGAGAGGACAGAAGGAACTTAGGCATAGAGATGGCATGTCCCGGCCACACCTGGTCCTGTCTTTACCCCGATTTGCTTCTCTGTTGTTCTCCCTCTGTCAGTACTCCAGGCTTTCTGCTAAGCAAGCACCAAAAGTTTTCTTTCTTTCTTTCTTTCTTTCTTTCTTTCTTTCTTTCTTTCTTTCTTTCTTTCTTTCTTTCTTTCTTTCTTTCTTTCTTTCTTTCTTTCTTTCTTCTTTCTTCTTTCTTTCTTTCTTTCTTTCTTTCTTTCTTCTTTTCTTTCTGGTGTTTGGAGGATCTGATTTAGTGTATGGCTTTATGTCTGGCGTTGCTTATGTCGGTCAGACATCACCCGACTAAATACAAGAACTCCCTACATACGATCAGCCCTCCCTCCCGTTTTTCTTCCTTCCTTCGTCCTCTTTTCCTTTCTTTTCTCTCTCTCATCCCTCCCTTCATCCTCCCTCCCTCCCTCCCTCCCTCCTCCCTCCCCTCTTCTCTTCTCTCTCTCTTCTCTATTTTTTCTTTCTTTCTTATGCGATTCTTTATTTCTTTCTTTCTTTCTTTCTTTCTTTCTTTCTTTCTTTCTTTCCTTTCCTTTTTCTTTCTTTTTAAAATATATTTTATTGATTTTGTACAGAGAGGAAGGGAGATAGAGAGTTAGAAACATCGATGAGAGTCATCAATCAGCTGCCTCTTGCACACCCCCTACTGGGGGAATGTGCCCACAACCAAGGTACATGCCCTTGACTGGATTCAAACCCGGGACTCTTCAGTCCCCAAGCCAACGCTCTATCCATTGAGCCAAACCGGTCCCGGCAAGCACCAAAAGTTTTCATTGAGGAGGATTAGTTCACTATTTTTGCAACAAGAGGATTGGGAACCCCGTAGAATAGACTTCAGGTACTGAACCAGACCCTGAAAACACCAATGACTAAAGGGGTTGCCTCTTCAGAGTTTATGCTCATAAGTGGGGGGTGATTATTAAATAAAAAAAGTGCAGTGACAGATCTCTACAGGTCTGAATCTTAGTGTGTGGGGTTCGGGATATGGAATGGGAGCTGCAGGGGTTGCAGTTGGGAGGCAGGGGTCTCTCACCAAGGATGGAGATGCATAATGTGCAGCTGTTGTGGTGGAAGGTACCCAGAGTGCCCACAGAGCCAATTGTGTTTTCCAAAACACAATTCTCTGCCATGTGGGCCAGGTATGAGGAGAAAGAAACTTAGGCTGAGTGAATTCTCTGGCCTGGTCCCTGAGAGAGCTTTCTTCAATTTCTGACATGGGCTTCAAGACTCTCTGGTCCCGGAGTCTGAAAAATGAGCCATCTTCAATAATAAAAGCGTAATATGCTAATTAGACCAGAGGTCTTTTTGGACAACCTTCCAGACAAAGCCAGGTCTGTGTGGGAAGTCAGGGTCCCCGGTGCCAGAGGGAAGCGAGTGCTGGCAGCCAGGGGAAGGCCTACTCTTGCATGAATTTCGTGCATTGGGCCTCTAGAATTTAACATTACAGATAAGGGTCTTAATCTAACCTTTATTTCCTTCTCATTATCTTGGCATTCTTTTTCCTGCTCTGCCTGTTTTTTAAAAAAAAGTTTCTCAAAGTGTACTTTACATAACTGCATGCAAATCACCTTTAAGTTTACTTGTTAAAGATTCCATGTGAGAACTATTGCTCAGAAACAGGAGGTCCTGACTCTGGCTGCATATGGGAATCACCTAAAAACAGCACCTTTGTAAAAACACCAATTCTCTGGGCCCTAAGCCAGATCTTCTGATTTGATTGGTCTGGGTTGGCTCCAGGCACCTGTGTGATTTTAACCCCCACTCCCCTGCCCCCCACCCAGTGACCCGAGTATGCAGTCGGGGTTGAGAGTCCCTGAGTTAGAGGAAGCTTCCAAGGATGAACAGGTGTGTGTCCAGAGGAATGAGTACTAGGAGGGACTAGACCACTGAGGCCTGCTGGTAATCAAGAAGGTCTCCCATGCACAGGTAGTGTCTACCAAGTGGATATAGAGTGCTTCCTGAACCTAGATTTCTTCCCTGTTATACTTCATGAGGCCCATCCTCCTTCCCTGGGTCTCCCCACTTGTCTCCACCTACTAAAGGATTCCCAAAATTTAGTGTGCATAAAAGTCAAAATTTTACTAAACTTACTAATATGCAGATTCCCAGAGGTTCTGATTCAGTGTTTCTGGGATGCGACTGGACTCTATATATCAAACAAGTATTATATTTAAGGATGATTCTGTATCATTCTGATGGTGATCGAGAGACCACCAAACTCTGAAAACACTGCCTAGGCTTTCACCAAAGGTATAATCAGCTAGGGAATGTTCTCTGTTTCAAATTCTGGCTCTGCCATCTTGTATCTGACCTTGAGGATACTAACTTCTCTGTACCTCGATTTCTCCACTTGTAAAATGAAGGAAAAGTACTTACTTTATATAGGTTCTGAGGATTGAAAGAAGTTAAGACAGGTCATTTTTATGGCCTGAGGTAATCAGGTGACGGAACTGGGTAGCTTTGAGGAGATAGCTATTTAGTTGGATTTGATCCTCTAATAAGGCAGTAGTGCAACTGTTTCCCCAGTGTCATTCAGCCTTAGTCTCCTGCCCCATTTCCCCACCTACTCAAGGGCTACCACAATCACTGTTAGAATAAACTTTATTTCTATGTGATTTATTGTGAAAAACAAAATACCCAAAACTGAACTTGTGCTTTATGTTTAGTGTATAAAAGTTGAACAATAAAAATACGTTTTTAAATTTTATTAGACTCAGTTATTTCCAATCAGCAGGCCTAAAAATCCATCTTCCTAAAAACTAGATCCATGATGACACCCAGTGGCCAAAATGTTAACCACTGAGATTTTAAAAAACGTGTTTTCCCAAGCACACAAATACTTAACATTGCATCAACTTTATCTTTACAGTTTGAGAACAATTCAAATAAAGCATGAAATAGTTCTGCATGAGGAATTTCATCAACAAAATGTGGACAAGCCAAAACCCTTTAGTACTGTTTTTAGTAGTACTCCTTCCACAACCAGTTCAGGCAGAGAAGAGTACCAAGTCATCAAAGGTGACATTCTAGCAAACATTTTTAAATTTGGAGAAAGCTATTTATAACAACGTGTGGTAAATAAACACAAAGACTGTTAAGATTTCACAGTAGTCACACTTGGTCCTTTAAACACTATACTATTGAAATAATAAAAGGGTAATATGCTAATTAGACCAGACATCTTCTGGGCAACCTTCTGGATGTCCTTCTGAACAAAGCCACAGTATGGGGCCAAGGCAGAGGCAGTTAGAGGTGATCATGCTGGCAGGGGAGAGCAGTTAAGGGGATCAAGCCGGCGGGGGAGGGGAGTTAAGGTCAATCAGGTCATCAGGGGAGCTGTTAGGGGATGATCAGACCAGCAGGCAGAGGCAGTTAGGGGCAAACAGGCTGGCAGGCAGAGGCGGTTGGGGGTGATCAGGCCAGCAGGCAGAGGTGGTTAGGGGCAATCAGGCAGGCAGGCAGAAGAGTGGTTAGGAGCCAGCAGTCCCAGATTGCGAGAGGGATGTCCGACTGCTGGTTTAGGCTCAATCCAGCAAGGGTCCTGGATTGGAGAGGGTGCAGGCTGGGGTGAGGGACACCCACAAATTTTGTTCACAGGACCTCTAGTTAGAAAACAATAAATAATTCAGGTAATGATCAAAGCATAAATAGAATGTTGGGGTACCAGCTAGATTTGTAAGAAATATTAATCATGCTCTGTTAACCATGGTTGTTTTATTCTGATTAAAGAAGGTACATTCTAACCTGGCTGGCAGCCTCACTCAGGACCTGGGAGCTCACCTGGAAGTTTAGCCCTTCCTTCCCATTTGGAACTGCCTATTACCATGGAAAGATTAACAACTTTATTACAGAAACCAGAATTGCCAGCCCACTGAAGATCCCCAGACCTTGAATATCACTAAGCACTTTGAGAATCCCAAACCCTCTGCTTACCTGTTAACTGCCCATTTGGCATACCCCTTTGGCTATTTCCTTTGTAAACCAGCCCCTGCATATCTCCAAGCCCTTTGAAGACCCCAGCTCTTTTGCATATCTGTACAATGCCCATTTGCTCTTTTGCCTACTTTCCCATGTAATCTTTGTTCTTCTACCAATATAAGCAGAGGGCTTATGCTTGGGTGCAGAGCAGATTTTTGTGGATGACTTGCTGCTCTCCCATACTGCCGGCAATATTTGAAAAACGCTCGTATATGATTCAACCCTGTCTCTGCTGAATTCGTTCCAGTAGTGACAGGCAGCACAGACCAATTGTTGTCCAGTAACAGTAACAGTCATTACTTTATCAGATGGGCACAGGATCTATTCTTTTGTAGATTCATTCATTTACTCAAGAAATATTTCCTTGTTTCCCAGATTACGAAGTAAACTCAGAGGGAGATTAGTGCCCAATGGAGTTCATCTAACCTACTTATGTCTCCTCCTTTAGTGGTCATTTATGAAAATAGGTGAAAAACTGCCATTCTGCAGAGTATTACCTCAATGTTTGTGAGTTTGGCTCAAATAAACACAAAAATTCTTTATGGGTTTGAATGTTTCTTACATTAATAATGTGGATCTGATGACTGAGCTCTCTCTCTTTTTCAATTTTTATTATTTTTAAAATATATATTTTTATTGATTTCAGAGAGGAAGAGAGGGGAGCAGGAGATAGAAACATCAATGGTGAGGATCACTGATCAGCTGCTTCTTGCAAGCTTGCTACTAGGGATTGAGCCCACAATTTGGGCATATGGCCTTGACTGGAATCAAATCCAGGACACTTCAATCTTCAGGCCAACACTCTCATTCAGTGAGCCAAACCAGGTAAGACTTATTTCTCTCTTAAGACTGATTTCTCTTGCCTTTTGATGTGCTTTATAACTTTTTTATTGTTGTTGAAACTCAGATATGTTGTTGGGTAGTAGGTAACCAAGACAAAATGATCTTTAGTGTTAATTCACTAATCTTACTGGGAGGTGGGCTGTATTTGTTTCTTCTACCAGAGACTTCAAATTCCCTGAGTCCTTATTTTTTACTTTAAGGACTTTTGGGACTTTCTTTTGTATTGCCTCAGTAAAAGTTTGTGCTCTGTAGCCTTTTCAGCTGTATACCACTGTTACTGTCCTGGCAAAACGCTGGTGTGGTGCATGGTGTGAAAGAGAAGCCTAAGACTTGGTCTTTCACTGGGCTTGTCCTGGGAGTATGGCCTTCACTAGCGTTTCTTGGGGGACAGCTTTCTACCCCCTGCTCCTACTTTCTTTCCTGACTACAGCGTTCCCAATCTATTTCCTTGGTGTCCTCTCCTTTCTGTCGACTAGGGAGTTTTTCCCTCCTTCAGGTGAGAAGAAGGCTGGAGAGGACTAGAGCAGAGTTCCCTTCTCCCAATTGGGTAAGTATTCAGTATTGCCTGCTGGAGAGACGTCCTTCTTATTGGAGAGTAGGCCTCTGCTCGAAGAATCTGGAAGAGTTTCACAATGGTTATTCTCTTCCTGTCAGTACCACCAGGGAAACTTCCTCCAATCTTCAGATCCATCTTGAGAGAACCTGCTGGCATTTCTGGAGGGAAGACTCCCCGGCCCCCCATGACCGTGGACTTTAGGAGTTTCTTGCTCTCATATTAGTTCTCATACTCAATCTCTAGCAATTCACCAAAATTATTAGTTAAGTGTTGATTAGCTATGCCACCTAGCAGCTTTTGCTCCAGGTAAACAAGTGTCAGGTGTAGTACCTCTCTGGATATACCTGTCTCTTCCGATTTGGAGTGGTTGCTTGCCTTCTGACTTCAGTTCAGAAAAGTTATTAAGTTTTAGTTTTTCCAGTTTTTCTTGTTTTGAAGAAGGGATTGGCAACTTCTAAGTTCTTTACATATCAGAGCTGATACTAAAATGCAGTACTATTAGGAAAACAGGAAATAGGAGTCACAATGAGGACTTAACTCTCTTCTTGTACTTGGCTTTGGGTCACTGAAATGAGACAAGGACTCCAGTATAATCTATACTATGCACAGTATTTATTTTGGGAGGTATTTTGGCGGGAGCTTTTTGAGGAACCAGTGATTTATGTACTGGTTAAAGGTAGGACTCGAGAATAGGAGGCATTGTAGGAGAATTACACAGAATAACTCAAGGGACCCTCAGGATCAGTAGGAGTCAAGATGGAAATATTAGATTGTGGCCAGAGTATGTTTGGGCTGAGGAATATTTTACCACATTCTGTGGTCAGCCTGGAGTAACTAAAAGATTTTGTAAGGATAGCATCAAATGTGGAGAATTAAACCTAATGATAACATTGGATAAACTGAATGAAGCATGCTCAAGATTTGGTGTCTGACTAGAGATGAAAAGGAAAAATAGTGAAAGATTGTGATGTCTCAATGATAAAATCAGACATTTGAGAGTGAAGTCCAGGAGTCTGGATCACGAAGAGTTTGAAATGCAACCAGAACTCACAGCAGAGATTAGATTTTGGAGGCATCAGCGTGGAGGCTACAGAATAAAGATGTGGTCTCTGGGAAGAACTGGGGTTAGAACCTTTGTGATATGTACATTTAAGGGAGAGGAGAAAATAGTAAGCAGTGGAAAGATGGGAGTAAAACCAGATGTTAAGAAGATTAAGATAAAAGATAATCCTTCTTTTTTTCCAATGTCTGTCTGGCTTATAGGGGGCAGATTCTGAACTGTATAAATCTAGGTGTGACAAAGAAAAACAGCTTCCAGTATAGCTTGGCCTGAACAAATTACTTTTTGCCAGTTTTACATGAAATGTTTTTTAGTTGAAATAGATGCAAATGGCCCTGGATGGCTTGGCTCAGTAGATAGAGCATCAGCCTGCGGAATGAAGGGTCCTGGGTTTGATTCTGGCCAAGGGCACATGCCTGGATTGCAGGCTAAATCTTAATGGGGGGCGTGCAGGAGGTGGTCAATTGATGATTCTCTCTCATCACTGATGTTTCTCTCTCTCCTTCTCCCTTCCTCTTTGAAACCAATAAAGAAATATATTATTTTAAAAAAAGAGAAAAAAAGAAATAGATTCAAATGTCCCATAGGAAATGGTTAGTGTTTATTAAGTAAATGTCCATATTTATGAGATAATATCCAATTCTTAGAATCTAACTAGGTAAGAGAGTAATTTGTGGTGGCTATAAAATTGTGATGAGAGCTAAATTTAGTATACATAATTACCATGCCCTCAAGGTAACTGCAAACCATCTTCATAACATTTCTTCAGATTATCTGCACTATGTATATGTGCTATAATCAGGAGTTATACACCTCATATTTAGTGGTTTGTTTCTCACATTCATTACATGGTCAGTGTTTAAAGGAAATCAGAGCATGTTCAGTAAATTTTTTTTTCTAGAGCAACAAGGCAGTTTTCATCAAGTCTGTGAAATGTATTTTTTTAATTAATAGAAGAGCATGTCTTACCAGATACACTGTCCCCAAATAAATAAAATAGCATAAAAAGCACACAAACACACAGTTTTACAGGGTACAATACAAAGTCAATTTTGATCTTATTCTTACTTGCATTTACTAAAAATGTGAGACTGTAAATCAATCTCTAAATAATTATCTTGCATAAAGAGAAAAGTACAGCACAATTATTTCACAGTAGGTTTTGGAGAGACAATTTGAGAAGACTTTGCTTTAAAAGATATGAAGATATATCACAAATCAAGTCACATGTCTATAACATTAAAACATGGAATTGTACTTAATCAAAAACAAAAGTAAAATAGCTGAAGAAGACTGTATACTCCCCCCCACCCCCCACTCATTACACTAACTTCTATTTTTGGCAGGAGTTAACAACCTTTTCCATTAGTAGGAAAATGTGCTCTGCAAACTCTCGGAGGGCACCACGGCCACCATTACACTTGCAAATGTACCCGACAGCCTTCTGGGCTGTGGAACAGGCATCAGCAGGAACAGCACTTAGGCCCACTTTCTTCAGGCACTCCTCATCGGACACTTCATTTCCTATCGCAGAAAAGAAACACTGGTTGACCATTTAAAGAGACAAAGAATATTCTTTCCAAATGATGCAAACAGCAAACAATAAGTAATTCTAGTAAGTTTAGTGGCCTAAATCGCTGCATACATTACAGCTTAGATGGAACAAAAATATGTTAAAGAACTTGTTCTTATGGAATAATTATCAATGTTTTAGATAATTTATCAATGTTTTTCTCTATTTCCTGCCACCTTGCTTTTTTGGAGGGGATAAAGAAACCCCAGATATATTTTACCCCAAAAACTTTTTAGCATTTATCTCTGATATATATAATTTTAAAAGTGACATATCATCAAACTAACAAAATCAACAATTCCTTAATATCACCTAATAATTCAAATATTCTCAGTTGTCTCAAAATTGTTTTAGTTGATTTATGTGAATCAGAAACCAAAAAGGCTCTAAATATTACATTTTGTTGATATGTATTTTTTTCTTTTATTGATATGTATTTTTTTATGTTTTATTGATTTTTTTAGAAGGAGAAGAAGGGAGAGGGATAGAGTGATAGAAACTTCAATGAGAGAGGAACATTATTGGTTGGCTGCCTCCTGCAAGGCCCCTATTAGGAATTGAACCTGCAACTTGGGCATGGGCCCTAACTGGTAACCAAACTCTTGTGTCAATGCTCAACCACTGAGTCATATCCATGGGCTGTTGTTGATATATATCATAAGTCTCTTTTAATTTGTAATAGTTCTGATTTGAATAACACTTATTTGTTGAAAAATCACCATTACAACTAACATAACTACATCCCTTCTTCCCTTGCCTTGATTCTTCTCAACCCCTGTTTTTTGACAGAATGAATTTCAGAAGCTCCCAGTACCTTAGATTCACCATTCTGAGTATAACTACTACTTTGCTACAGAGCAAACACAAACAATAAAATGCCATTTAAGGGTCTGTTTTATATTTTCCTACATTTATCTACTGAAAATTTTCTCCTATTGGTAAATGTACTGAAATTTAAATTGTTTTCACTGAAAGATGATTAAAATTAGGATATTTCTTCATATTATTCATCCCGCAAATTAAGCTTTACTAAATTTTTCTTATAAAAGTGTCAATATTTTAAGGGACACATTGTTATATATTTATGTGGCCCATACAAAACTGCTCTTTTTAAATAAAAATTTGGAGTTCATTCTCTATTTTCCCAATTTTCTAACTACTACTTTTCAGTTTTTTCTTATAAGTGAAGGCAAATATATTCAAATCATCCTAATTACCACCATTTAGGAACAGTCATTACATTTTGGTATATATTATAAATAGGAAAACTAAGGTTTAGAGAAGCTTGCTTAGGGTCACACAGGTAATAAATAAGTATAGCTGGATCATTTTCTATCAAAGTTTCTATAGTATTTTCCTCCATACAATCTGTACATGCAGTTCAAAGGCTATTCCTGAGTCTCCAGATCATACACTTCCAAAGCATTCTGTGATGCTTCTGAGGCCCATATTAGCCCTGTAAATATTTATTTCATACATGGCTTATAGCTATTATATATAATAACTTGACATTGTAAGCCATTATTATTTAAAATATTGACATCA